CCACACTGTCTCAGGTTACATTTTGCAAATTTTGGATTTATTACTCTGTGCTGCATGCTAGTAACCTCAACAGGCATGCCAGATTGAGCAAATAAAAACACAAGACAGCCAGCTAAATTTGAATTCCAAATACAACAATAAATACAAGATCCAGCAGAAGTGAGGCCTGCTTGAGTGGCGCTGGTTGGATAATATGGCTGTAATAATTTCTAGTTTTAATTTGAACATTTCACCTAAAATGTCATATGGTGTGCTTGAGTGTGACATTGTTATGTTACAGAATTACATGCTTATGATTTTGTAATAAAAGATTTGTAATAAAAAGGGGCATTATTTGGACCAGACCCTGTATTTTTTTTAGTGTATGTCCCAAATGCATGGCATAACTACTTCCAAGAGGTACTAAAATTCAAATTTAATTGAATGTCCTATATTTTGTCTGGCAAGCCTAAACCTCAGGCATTTCTGGCAGTTAGAAAATGGTCCAAAGTTGAAATTTGTAGAGAATTCTTCATTTTGTTGTATAATAGTATTAATTACTGCTACAAATCCAAAGTTTGGTTTAACATTGAGACCTATATTCTTCCAGGAATTTAAAAGGTTAACACTAAGTATAAATTACTTGGTTCTAAAAAATATTTTAACTCATTTTATCTTGGTTGTTCAGGTGAAAAATTATATGGCACAATGTCTCTTAAAATAATGATTTGTCTTATTAATCAAGTGACATTTAATGGTTATTTACTTTTTATTTATGACAAACTATATATATATGAAGCTGAAGGAGCCATAATAAAGAAGAGCATTGATTACCTTTAGATTTTTTTCTCTTTGTTTAAAAGGAAAGAAGAGTATTGATTACCTTTAGATTTTTCCTTTTAGTTTAAAATGTTCCCAAGGGCAGTTGTATAAACAAGAGGGAAGAAAGCAAAATCCTGGGTTCCATTCAACTCTCTACCCTCCTCCTTACCAAATAGATCTGAGTATTTAGATCCTTAACCCCTCTCACCTTTAAGCAGGAGACCCATGATTAAATTTATCTCATTTCTACAAACTAACTCTTGTTTTGAAATAGCTTCTCTAATTCAAGTTGCTAAGAACCACTTTACTACCTAACATTTTCATGGAACAATTCTGGGGTACTTATACCTTCTTTGGGAATGCAATTCTCTCAAACTTTCTTTTTTTTCTTTTTTGTTTTTTTAATCCTTATTTATTACATTTGCCCCAATTTTTCTTCCTTTTTCCTCCTCTGTCCAGCCACCACCACCCCTCCCAGCTCACACAGCCTGTCCCCACACCATTGTCCATGTCCATGGGTCGTTCATACATGTTCCTTGACTAATCCCTTCCCATTCTTTCTACCATCCCTCCTCTCCCCCTCTTTCCTCTGGCATCTGTCAGTCTGTTCCATATTTCCATGTCTCTGGTTCTATTTTGCTTGCTTATTTGTTTTGTTGATTAGGTTCCACTTAAAGATGAGATTATATGGTGTTTATTTTTCACAGCCTGGCTTATTTCACTTAGCATAATACTCTCCAGTTCCATCCATGCTGTCACAAAAGGTAGGAGTTTCTTCTTTCTTTCTGCTGCATAGTATTCCATAGTGTAAATGTACCACAGTTTTTTGACCCACTCATTTACTGATGGGCACTTAGGCTGCTTCCAGCATTTAGCTGTTGTAAACAAGGCTGCTATGAACATAAGAGTACATAAGTTCTTTTGAACTGGTGTTTCAGGGTTCTTAGGATATAATCCCAGCAGAATGGCTGAGTCAAAAGATAGTTCTGTTTTTAGTTTTTTCAGGAAATTCCATACTCTTTTCCACAGTGGCTGCACTAGTCTGCATTCCCACCAACTAGGGTTCCCTTTTCTCCACATCCTTACCCACATTTGTTGTTTGTTGATGGCCATTCTGACCAGTGTGAAGTGGTATCTCACTGTGGTTTTAATTTGCATCTATCTGATGACTAGTGATGCTGAGCATCTTTTCATGTGTCTATGGGCCCCCTGTCCTCCTTCGAGAAGTGTTTGTTCAGGTTATTTGCCCATTTTAAATTTGGATTATTTGTCTTTCTGGTGTTAAATTGTATGAGTTCTTATATATTTTGGAGATCAAACCCTCTGAGGTATCATTGGAAAATATATTTTCCCATATGGTCAGTCACCTTTTCATTTTGATGATGGTTTCTTTAGCTGTGCACAAATTTTTAATTTGATGTAGATCCATTTGGTTATTTTTACCTTTGTTTCCCTTATTCTAGGAGATATATCAGCAAAAATATTGTTTAGTAGGGTATCTGAAGTTTTACTGCCTATGTTTATCACTAGGACTTTTATGGTATCATGACTGTGTTTAAGTCTTTTACCTATTTTGAATTTATTCTGGTGTATGGTATGAGTCGGTGGTCTTGTTTTATTTATTTATTTTTTGCATGTACCTGTTGAGTTCTCCTAACACCATTTATTGAAGGGGATATTTTTACTCAATGATTTCAATTTTCTTGAGTTTGTTAAGGTTTGATTTGTGTCCTATCCCATGGTCTGTCTTTGAGAATGATCCATGTGCACTTGAGAAGAATGTGTATTTTGCTTTTTTGGGGTGAAATGTTCTAGAAATATCAGTTAAGTTTATTTGATCTAGAGTCCATTCAATTCTGCAATATTTTTGTTTATTTTTTAATTGGAAGATTTTCTGTTGTTCAAAGTGGGGTGTTAAAATCCCCTATAAGATTATATTGTGGTCTACCTCTTTCTTAAAGTCCTCCAATATTTTCTTTTTTATTTAGGTGCACCTGCATTGGATGCATATATGTTTGCAAGAGTTCTATCCTCTTGGTGGACTACTCCTTTATTTAGTGACCTTCTTTATCTTATTATGGCCTTTGATTTGAAGTCTATTTTTTCTGATAAAAGTATTACTATCCCAGCTTTTTTTTTTATGTCCATTTGCATGGAATATTTTTTTCCATTCCTTTACTTTCAGCCTGTGTGCTATCTTTTGTTCTGAGGTGGGTCTCTTGTAGATAGCATATATGCAGATCATATTTTCATATCCATTCAGCTATACTATATGTTTTGACTGGAGCATTTAATCCATTTACATTTAAGGTTATTATTTTTTAAAGATTTTATTTATTTATTTTTAGAGAGGGAAGGGAGGGATATATCTATAGAGAAAGAACCATCAATGTGCAGTTGCTGGGGGTCATGGCCTGCAACCCAGGCATGTGCCCTGACTGGGAATCTAACCTGCGACACTTTGGTTCACAGCCCGCACTCAATCCAGTGAGCTACGCCAGCCAGAGCTACATTTAAGGTTATTATTGATAGGTACTTATTCATTGCCATTTTTCTCTATATATATTTCTTCTTCTTAAAAAAGAGCCTTTAGCATCTCTTGCAGTACTAGATTGGTAAAGATGTATCTTTTTTGTTTGTTTGTTTGGGAAGCTCTTTATTTTGCCTTCTATTTTAAATAAGAGCCTTGTTAGATAGTGTAGTCTTTGTTACAGATCCTTGCTTTTCATTACTTGTAATACTTCATGCCAGTCTCTTCTGGTTTATAGTGTTTCTGTTAAGAAATCAGCTGATAGCCTTATCAGAACTCTTTTGTATATTACTAGTTGTTTCTTCCTTGTTGCCTTTAAGATTTTTTGTTTTCATATAAGTGGTTAATTAGGAATAGATACGATACAAACTGAATTACAAGTAGCACTGAATTATAAATAATGTTATTGGACAGTCACATGGCAACATTTACTAAAAATTTATTCTCTATGTTTATTTACAAGTAAAAGATGCCAGTTTAAGATTTGTTATCTTTAGTTTTATTTAATATGGAAAATGCTGTCCATGACAATTTATTCTCTGCAATGTCTCTTGGATAATAAACATTTTCATCTAAAATTAAGAAATTCACACTTTAAGTTGTTCTAGTTACAATTGACACCTTTTATAAGATTTATGATCTCACATTCTACACTTTAGTCATTTCTCTAGATGGACAATCACTTTAAAATTTTTTTTATAAAAAAGCAATAATTCTAGGAAATAAAACCAATTCTACTATTAAATTTAACTTATGTTTGGGAAACATGACAGCTTACAATAAATTTGAATCTAGGTTTACAAATGACACAAATGAGACTTCCTCTTCTTGTATTTAAATAATTTTGCACTGTAAACATCATATGTCACATTTTCCCTATTTCTTACCTGTGTATGATGCATAACAATAAGCATGAAGTTAATAATTTTAAAAAAATTATCCATAAAATATTGACTGAAACAGAACAGAGAATGAAGCTAAGGGAGAAAATGTCAAAGATCCTCAAGTCTAGAAGGGTAGAGGGAATATTTCAAAGAATGTTTGAGAATATTGACTCTTTGAATTGGCATCACCAGCTAGGGTTTACTTAAGATTTACTTACTTATTTAAAGTTTAATTTTATCAAGGTTGTTCTGATTTACACATTCCTAACTATGCAACCTCCCCCTTTCCTGCTCAAACCTTCATTCTTGAGATAACACCTCTTTTCCTACATTATATTCCACCAGAATATAGGCAGAATCTCTCCAAAGAGCACCTCCCCCATTCTGATAAGGATGAACCATTCCAGAAACAGAGGTGATGAAAGGGCAGAAAAGTTAAGGACCGACTTTCAGTTCAGACAAATTAGGCAGTTTTTTTTTGCATGATTGATTTTATAGGAAGGACTGGTGTGTTTTAAAAATTTCTTCCCTGTAGCATGTTGGCTTGAAATTCTTCTGTTACTGAGTTCAAAGTGTTTACCTGTACATGGCAGGAAGAAATAGAGCCTTTTTATGTGTAGGCAATGTTAATATGAGATTCAGGCTCAGTTTTTCTGAGAAGACAACACCTGTGGTTTGATGATGGATTCAAAATCAAACAAGAGAAAATGTGAAGAAACACAAAGGAAAATTTAGAATAATGATAGATATTATTTCTAACAGCATATAATAAAAAATGAATACCATTAATTGGGAGAGAGAGTATTTGTTGACATTTTACTGCTTGTACTCAGGATTCTCAAAGGAACAAAAGATTGCCTTCTTCTGTGAAAATCTTTCGCAATCAGCACCTTCAGAAAAGCCTCACCCTGGCTGGTGTGGCTTAGTGGATTGAGTGCCAGCCTGCAAACAAAAAGACTGACCATTTGATTTCCAGTTGGGAAACATGCCTGGATTAGGGGCCAGGTCCCCATTAGGGGGTGTGTGAGAAGCAACCACACATAATGTTTCTCTCCCTCTCTTTCTCCCTCCCTTACACTTCTGTCTGTCTAAAAATAAATAAATAAAATCTTTTTTTTTAAGAAAAATCTTCTCAGCTTACTGTTCCCCATTACCAGGATGAATGAATGTCTTCATGGAAAAATGACAGTAATTATGCAACCAAACATCACCACAAATTTTCTCTGAGGAATCAGAAAGCTATAGGTTATGACAAGAACGTATGGTACATAATAAAGAGCAGCAGAAAGATGATCACTGCCTTTTAGAGTCCACATGTGGGCCTCTGTTCTGGAGTCCCTACACACTGAGGCATGAAGTTTCATCTGCCTGGTGTCTTAAAAGGGAGCAAAGTAACAAGAGAAATGAGATCAGGCTAAGAATAAAGAGAACTATAACCCCCAGATTCAGGGCAATCTCTTTGAAAGGATTGGGGATTTTACTCACTTTGAATTCCTAAGTTATATTTTCTTCATAATTGACCTTGAAGTGATAGCAGGTGTCCTCAGTCAATGAAGCACTAATAATTAAAGAGATAAGAAAGGTAATCAGAAGAATCCCAAGGATGACTGTTGTTCTTCAGCTTCAGCCAGAGGAAAAACGAGTGGTATATATCTACTATCCTGAGTAAATAGAAGATGTTGAGGTAAGAGGTAAACCACACATTTGAATGATATGAATGAACACATAAAACACCCAAAGTGTTCATTAGCTCACCATGGGCATATGTATCTGGAGAGAGCTGCATAATGAAGCATCTAAAAATATTACACACAACAACAGATTCTGGAGATGGCTACGCTGACCAGGATGACGTCAGTCAAAGAGCTATCTTTCCTTCTGAGCCAATGCAGTTAACCAGTACAAAAAATGCATTTCCTCAAATTTCTAGTCAGTTCACCAGCAATCAAAATCATATATATTGCCTCCATTGTACCTGGCATGTCGGTAGAGAGTTCTCATTTTGAATATCACTGATGATGAATTGACTTTCAGCTGAATAGTGAAGAATGGTGTGTGTCTGCCACTTAGGACATACTGCAGCTATCTTTACCTACCTTCTTTCTCAGCTGTGATCCAGGTCAAGGAGAGTTCTGCTCTAGGTTAGAACTGCTTAAGAATTCACTGATGGAAGCCAATGATTCTGTTATGTGATGATTGAAGGCTTTAAGATGCAAATAGGAATTGATCTGACTTGTTGGATTTGCACAGTCTTTCTCATTTTAAGCTTGGAATATTTTCAATTCATCAGTCTAAGCAAGCTGTTGACCAGAAGCTTCAAGAAGGAATCAATTCCTTGGAAAATAAGGCTAAAATTTCATTTGGAGATGTGGCATCATTACCATCTCTAAACGCTTGCAAAGTACTCCCAAATTGTGGTCCATTTTGTACAAGTGCAGGTTTTGGAGCTTATAAACAACTGTGAATTTAAAATATAGACAGTTAACAAATACGAGTAACTTTAGCCTCAAAATATTGACTATTAATTAGGATCACTCAGGTAGAATACTAGTGGTTTTCAATTTTCTGGAAAAGGCAGCTACTTGACTTCTATCTCTGTCACCTTGTCAGGTGAAGGACTGAGCACTGAGGATACTCTAGTTGTGCCTGTTATTATTCAGTTTGATCTCAGAATATGTATTTCTATGTAACATTTTATGGTTAAAATATGAGTGTTATCTTGTTTATAATGCTTTTATAATAATGGGTACCCATTTCAGAGACAAAACACATTTGATCAGATTTTATTTGTATACTTTACTTCTGGTTTCATGGTTCAAAACATATAGCATCCAGATGCATAAAACAATAACACAAACTATACTGGCATTTTCTTGCATTGGGTTCACTGAAAAGTCCATGGTTTTTTCCATAAAAGAAAAAACATATTTAATTTTCACCAGTAACTTTATTGATTTGGATATTTTGAGTATGTTGGCTAACTTTCATGAGGTGTAACATTGATCATTCTCAATTAATGTCTTAATTTGATCACTAGTCCCTTCAACTGGTCTACCCTACTGTGGAGCATCATCCAATAAGAATTCTCCAGCAAGAAATTTCACACACCACTTTTGACACATTTTATCAGTCACAGCACTTTTTCCATACTCTGCACAAATCTTCTGTTGCATTTCAGTTGCATTTTTACCTTTGTTAAAATAAAAGGCATAATATGTCAAAAGGTTTTATATTTTCTTCCATCTTCAATATTAAAATGACTACACAAAAATTCACCAATTTTGCCCTAGCTGGTGTGGCTCAGTAAATTGAGCTCCAGCTTGTGAACCAAAGGGTCACCAGTTCAATTCCCAGTCAGAGCACATGCCTGGGTTGTGGGCTAGGTCCCCAGTAGGGGATAAGTGAGAGGCAACCACACATGGATGCTTCTCACTCTCCCCTCCTCCCTCTCTAAAAACAAACAAACAAATACATTTTTCAAAAATTCACCAATGTTAATGTGTTTTTTAAAATGCACAGTGATATGACAGCTGTCATGATACAATCTAACAAAATTATTGCAAATAAAGTTAAAGACAACTAAGTGCAACTAGAGCATTTTTAAGGAAAAAAAAACAAATGAACTTTAGGCTAACCCAATATTTCACCAACTTAACATATAAGCTGGAGTCTTTAAGATTTTGCTTTAACTGGAGGTGCTGCCCTGTCAGAGGGAAAGCATTTGATTTGATGACCTCAAGCAAACACCCCACATCATTGGCACATGTATTTTAAGAATATTTGTAAAAACAGACAGTGAGTATAGGAAATTGAGATAGAGTCCCACCCACTAGGTGACATTGGGAATCAACTCTCATGGTTTGCTTTTTTTTAAAAAAATTAATATTGTAATTACTATATATATATATATATATATATATATATATATATATATATATAGTCAAGTATCCAACTTTATCTTGCTATAGATGGCTGTCTACTTGTTCCAACTTCCTAATTCATCTTGTTTCCCTTGCTTTGAGATACAACTTTTTTTATAATAGTTTTCCTTATATGTCTGTGAATCAAGGGGCTGTTGCTCTTGATCCTTGTTGTATTCATCACTAAAAGGGCTGTGAGTGGTGTGGCTCTTTCTAGCTGCATAGGAGAACTTATGACAATTTGAGATTTTAAGTATTCAGCTAGTGACAGGAAATCAATGATCTTCTACGGTGGTCATGAAAAATTCTCTTACTTTTTTACAGCTGTAAGTCAGATCTAAAAGTTACTTGTGTACATAAGACAATTACTATATAAAATGTATTCACAGACTCATCAAAGTCTCATCAAATAAATTTTAGAGAAATGATGGGAAAATAGTAGGACCTTAATGCTGAGCATGACAAAATGTATGTGGACTTAGATAAATAAAGCTAAGAACTTTAAACTCCTTTTGTAATTAAAGCAGTCTAGCAATGCATGTCAGAGGAATTAGCCTTGCTCTGCTTGAAGACCCTATAGTAACCTCACCTTGGAAACTTGCCATGTAAAGGGATGTTTATTTCTTCAAGATCCACTTCAACCCCCACTTATTGACCCTAGACCCATTAACAAAGTCACACTTTAGCATGCTTCAGGCAGTAGAGGGGAAAGGAAGGGAAGGAGGGCAGTTACAAAGTCTGACTGAAAACATTTGTTCTCCAAAAGAATTGCAAGATTTTGCTCAATTGTAATTTTAATGACAGTCACTGGAAGAATACATGTGAGAATGGGCTCTAAAAGATTGAGAACAAAGAGGATAGAATTTAATACTGAACCTGGGCCAACATATTGATAAAGCAGCCCCTTCGTAGATTCTGTGTTTAATGTGTTAGCTTGTGAATTCACCTTCAACAGTTTACTTGCTTGGTTGTCTAAAGCTTGAAATACATTCTTATTTACATTAAACATTAGATTTAAGGACAGAACTGGCAGAATATAGAGGAAAGAATCTAACAATTTAAGAAGACAGGAATATTGAAGTGAATTTAGCATATGTAACTTTACATCTTCTTCCCATTCTATGATCTGAAAGGATCCGAAGTACCCACCATTTACTAGGGCAACAAGAAATACATTATTGAGGGAATTACCAATATCTTTCAAAAGCTCTGTAGAATCTGTCTTCTCAACAGAAGGCGTGATAGTGGTAGATGTTTGAGAGGAGTTTCCCAGTTTCGATGAGGATGATTCAATCCTCAAGGACTGGTGCCTAAACTATAGATGCAAAATGGACACAAATGCTACACTGAACAGCAAGGACCCAGCGGTGATTAGAATACTTTAACCCTCAACTATTTTTGGTAGCATCTAATTGATCATAATGTCCTTAATAATGAAAGAGATGGGTACCCTATTATAATCCTTCTTGGTCTTTGTAACAGGAGAAATTCTGCATGTGGACACCAAAAAACTGACTCGAGTTGCCATAAGAGAAAGGCATGGATTTCACCTGATTTCCAATCTTAAGCCATTTTACAAATTCAGAGTCCCTCACCTGAAGGAAAGGCCAGGTCCTCCAAAATGTATAAATAACTGATTTTAAACAAAAAAGAAATAAGATAACACAATAGTAAAAAGTTTGATTTAAAGCAGGCAAATATAAACATAGTTTTCCAAAGAAGACACACATATAAGATGGCCAACAGATTCATGAATAGATGTCCAACATCACTAATCATGAGGAAAATGCAAATCAAAACCACAAGCCAGCACCTCACACTGGTAAGAACAGCTATTATCAAAAATATAAGAAATAACAAATGTTGGAGAGAATGTTGTAAAAGGGAAACTTTGTGCACTCTTAGATGGAATGTAAATTGGTGCAATCACTCTAAAAAAGAATTTGGAGGTTCCTTAAAAGATTAAAAATACAACTATTGTATTATTCCGCAATTCTACTTCTGGGAATTTTTCCAAAGAAAACAATCCCTGCATTCATCGCAGCATTTTTTTTTACAATAGCCAAGATATGTAAATAACCTAAATGTCCCTTGACAGGTGAATGGATAAAGTGTAATTTTTATTTATATGTATAGTATTTTATTGTGCATATATGTATATAAATACAATATGGAATATTATTCAATTATAAAGAATGAACCTTGCCATTTGTGACAATATGGATGAAACCTGAGGGCATAGTGCTAAGTGAAATAAGCCAATTAGAGAAAGACAAATGCTATTTCATATCTATTGTATGGGAAGTCAGAAAAAATACTGAAGAACAAAACAAGAAAAAAATCAAGCTCTTAGATCTAGAGAACAGACTGGTGGTGGCTAGAGGTAGGGCATGAGGGTGGGAAAAATGGGTGAAGGGGGTATTAAATATTTTTAAGATAATAATAAAAATAAAAGTATGCTCCCAATTAAAACATAAAACCACTAACAACAAAAACAAACAAAAAAGCAACATCAGTAATCACATTTAAATAATTTTTAACATTTATTATGGAAAAATTCAAACATAAAGAAAGTAATCAGAATAGTACAATGAACCCCCATGTAAAACACTCAGATTTAAAAATATTTTAATACTTAATGTCTGAAAAAATGTATTCCAGTTAATTAAGAAGTTAATTAATCCGAGATTAATCATATCTTTAAATCCTGATAAATGACTTAATCTTTTAGTCTTGCTGACCAATAAATTCTTTTATTGGTATACATCTAAGTATTGACTATTCAGGGTCTATTATACCTGGTAATATAGTATTTTAAAATATATTTTATAGACACAAGTATTTTATTACCAAAGAGCATTATGCTAAGTGAAATAAGCCAGGTGGTGAAAGACAAACACCATATGATCTCACCTGTAAGTGGAACCTAATCAACAAAACAAACAAGCAAGAAATAACCAGAGACATTGAAATAAAGAACAAAGTGACAGTAACCAGAGAGGAGGAGAGATAACTGGGGAAAGAAGGGGAAGGGTCTGGTTAAGGAACATGTATAAAGGACC